TGTGTGTGCTTGTGTCTATCCTTATTTTTTCATTGCTATAAAAAAAATAACCTGAGGCAGCGCACCTTATAAGAAATAAGGTTTCTGTAGCTCCCTGTATTTGAGGTCTTAAAGTTCAAACACCGAGGTGGCCAGCTAAGGGCCCCTTGGGCTCTCACATGGTACATGGTGGCATAGTGGGAGCACATGATAAAACATAGACAAAGTCCAGAGAGTGATTCATTTGGGGGTTAGGTTCCTTGTTGTTTTCTTGAGAATTAACTTGGGGTCCCAGCGGATCTACCTTAACCCTTTCTGGGGGCAGTGCGATCCACGGCCTAACCAACTCCTACAAGGTTTCACCTTTGAACGGTCCCCCCAGCGCTTCGCTTCTCCATTTCACACCAGGAACAAACCGGATTCTGTCCACAGCAGGGCAGTCAGTGCTCATGTGTGTTCACAGGGCGGTTCGTTGTCATCATCACTGTTCTGTGATCTTTATCAGCCAGCATTACAGATGGGAAAGCCGCAGTGTAGAGCAGTTGCCAGTTTTCCTAGTGTAAATGCTTCACCGTGACCAGTTTTAAGCTATCTGTCTGACATCATCCCAAGGACCATGAAAAAGAGGCACACACACACAGACGCTCCTAAATTGCTGTGTTGGTTCTGCTGCACCGTTAGAATGTAGAGTATTTGGAAGACAGGAAAAGACTGCTAAAAGTAGAATATTAAATTCATAATGTTTGCGGTTAAGAGCAAAACAAATTTATTCATGAATTTATTTTTATGTATGTGAGTGTTCTATCTGATGTACACCCGCGTGCCAGAAAAGGGATCCCATTTTACATGGTTGTGAGCCACCATGTGGTTCCTGGGACTTGAACTCAGGACCTCTGGAAGAACAGACAGTGCTCTTAACTGCTGAGCCAACTCTCCAGCCCCCAAGCACAATTTTAACACAGCGTTACATTCCCATTTCGTTTTGTCTGGGTTGCATGTTATTATTAGCATTTTTGTCTATAAGTTTTTGATTTGCCATCATTATAAACACAGTATTTCAGTGATTTAATGAGTGATTTTTCTTAGTTGTCCTAATTGTCGATGTTTAAGAGTGTTTTCCAGTTTTTGGTATTGCTATAAATCATGTAGTATATCATTAGGAGAATGTATGTATTTTTTGCTATCTATTGTTCTTCATACTTCTGGATAGTTCCTTAGGACAGATTCAAGAATCAAAATATTTTGATTGTAGGTCTTAAAAACTATTCTCTGAAGCTCCTCTAGAAATTTTTTACCAAATACACTAACCTACTAATAAATTTATGAATTTCTACCTGTCAGATCATTACCACAGATTCTTTTGTAAAAGTTTTGGTGATTTGGAAAATTATTTTTAATATTTATTCATATGTCTTATGAATGTTTTTTCTGTATGTGTGTTCCTGTACCACGTGTGTACTTGGTGCTCACAGAGGTCAGACGAGGGCATCAGATCCCTTGTGACTGGAGTTACAGTTGGTTGTGAATGACCATGTCGGTGCTAGGAACTGAACCCGTGTCCTTCACATGAGTCACAAGTGTGCTTAGCCACAGAGCCATCTCTCCAGACCCTGATAAATCAGTATTAAAATTTTTCTTGGCAAGTGCAGTGAATTTTTAACATACTTCTTTTATTAGAAAATAGAATACTTTAAAAAGCTGTACTGCATTTATGAAGACATTTCCAAAATTTATTGGGTTTTTTTTTTTGAGGTTATAATTGTATCCCTTCCTCTTTACTTTTCCTCCTCCCAAACTTTTCTTGTCCATTTTTAAATTCATGGCCTCTTTTTTTTTTTTCATTAATTGCTGTTACATGCACATGATACATACAGATTCCGAAATGTACTCTGCTCGGTCTATATAAGGTTTACTTGTATACATGTTTTCAGGGCCGAGTGTTTGTTACTGGATACCAATGACACTAGTGCGTTCTTCCCTGGGTAAGATGGCTTCTCCCACTCTTCACATTCCTTAGTTGCCTGTCAGTTCTCTGTGTAGGGTTGAGGCCTCAGGGGATTTCTCCTATCCCCTTTGGCATGTCTGTTGCTGTTGTCCTTGTTCGGCTCATGTTTAGGCCGTCATGTTGGTGAGACTTGATGGAGATAGCATCTGATTTTAATAGAAAACAGTCTCACCGCAAACTCCCTGATCCTGGCAATCTTTCCGCCCCCTCTTCTGCAGTGTTTCCTGAGCCTTAGTTTGTGGAAGGGTTTTAGAAATGTATTGAGAAATGTAATTGAGACTGTGCTTTACAGCTCTGCATTTTGATTGGTTATGGTTTTCTGTAATGTCTCTGTCTATTGCAAAGAGAAGTGTCTTTGCTGAGACATGAAGATTACACTTAGCTGTAGGTATAAAGACAAATGTTTAGATTGTTGTTAGGGATTACGCTGTTTTAGTAGAGTGATGGTTGGAGGGTCTTCTCCAACATCTTTTATGACTTCACTAGCCTGAGTAGTTGGCTCGGTTTCCAGTCCCAGACATTATATCCCTTCTGTTGAGTAAGCTTAAGTCCAGTCAAAGAGCTCTTGGTGGACACCAGTGTACCGTGAAGGTTATCATGCTGTACAGATGTTATACGGGCATAATCATTTTTAAAAATTTGAGAAGTTCATAAGTGAGCACTATAATTGGCATCCTTTCTACACCCCAGCTGCTCCCACGTCTCCTTCACCTAGCCCCTTGAATTTATGGCCTCCAGTTCTGTAAGTTATTGTTCTATATGCATTACCATACCATTCTTAGTTCTCCTTTTAAGCCTGCTCTCCAGGTGAAGAAGCAATCCCCAGTTTACAATTTCCTATGTCAAGACTTCACCCCTGTCCCCATTATACCTTCTGTCTGTGTTCCCTGGGCTTCAGGCTTCGAAGCCTCTGTGCAGCCTTACCTTCCACAGGTCAATGGACATGGAGCAAGGCAAGCTGGCTCCCCCAGCCTCTAGCTTTCACCTTGTTGGGGGCACCTTGCTTTACTACTCCCTAGTCTGTTACCTGCTTTAACCCCAAGACACGTTCCCTGATCATTATCTCAGACTAGCCCCCAAACGTGCCCTCATCCCCATCTCTGCAACTCTTCCTCTGGCATTTAGCATTGTCTCATTCCACATACATTTTAGTTGTTCATCATCTTCCTACAAAGAGCCAAAGTTCTATAAAGACAATGGAGACTCCTAGGCCAAGAGGGCTATGTGGCATTTGTCAGAGGAGTAAGAACACTCTGGCCCTGTATCCAAAGGCTTAATGTTACCTTTAATAAAAGACTGCTTATACACTGCTTTTAAATATTGAAGGTAACCATTTGTGATGTTTGTAAGAAATGAATTTTTAGATTGTTAAATACTGTGTTGTAACACAGTTAGGTTAATATTTTTATGTCGCCAAATGTTCCATTGTAATTTTTCATTTGAGTTATATTTAGAAAATGTGTGTTTGTAAAGGTATTGGGGATGTGGATGGCTCCGTTCAAACACTGATTGCCTTGCAATTACAGAGGACTTTAGTTCAACCCCTAGCAGCCACGTAAAAAGTCGGGTGTGATGGTACACACTTGTGATCCTATACTGGAGAAGTGGAGACAGGAGGATTCCTGGGACTCACTGGTCAGCCAGTCCCGTCCAATTGGTGAACTCCAAGCCAGTGAGCCCCCTTTCAGCAGAGGTAGGCAGTATCCCGAGGACACCAAGGATTTTCTCTCTAGCCTGCTCGCATTCACAAACATAGAGTTACACAGATAGACACTCACTCACATCCAGACGCACACACATAGAAACATGCATAGTATTCACATAGACACACAGATGCGCGCACACACACACAACACACACGTTCACACAGACACACAGACATGCACACGCAAATGCACACATAGATATGTGCACAGACACACAGATACGGACACACGTGTGCACATTCACATCCAGACACAAACATAGGTACATGCACACACACAAATGGACACACATTCACACCCAGACAGACACATGGATACACACACACAGACGCACAGATGCTCACACACACATACACACATTCACAAACAGAGACACACGGATACACATACACTCACATCCAGACACAAACATGTAGATACACACACACACACAGACGCACAGATGCTCACACACACATACATACACACATTCACACCCAGAAACAAACACATAGAAACATGCAACATTCACACCCAAACACACAAAAATATATGTGCAGAGATAAACGCATTCACATTTACAGAGACACAGATGCACACTTGCCTCTACACATACATGTATATACACACACGAACACTTGTTCAGATGAACAGCCACACATAATAAAATGATTCAGGTTAAGTTTTAACTTTGCATTTTAACTCCGCTTTGTTTTATTTTTTTTTTTTTTACATGTGACTCATACATAAAATTGACTTTTGTTCTGTGTGACTAAACAAAAATGTAAGTTCCTGTTTTTGTCATGTAAAAAAGTACTGGGTTTTGTTGTTGTTATTGTTCATGGCTTCATGAATTCATCCTCTATATTTAAATCCTAGCTTGAGTAAGTCCCCCTCATGTAAAATTTCTAAGTGTCAAATCTCAGTAGAGATATCTGAATTTTCTCCTGTCTCTGTTCTTAAAGGTACTTTCCAGAGTGGACAAAGTCTACTTGAGCTTGTTTCTGTCATCACAATTACTTCCAATTCGATACTGAGTGAGCAAATCAGTGGGTGGATAGTAGGAAGCTGGGTCCCCAGAAGTGACCTCCTCAGTCTGAGGGGCTTGGACCTACCTGCAGCCGCGTGCTTCCTGAAGCACCTGCCAGGTGTCCTAGGGCCGGAGATCTGACCCTTCTGTTGGCACTGCATTACATTCATGCCTCTCTCTTCCTGGATGCTTGATAAATATTTGTGGACTGAATCGCATCAACCCTTGGGGCATGAAGCCTTTCCAGGAAGGGGTTCTAAGGACCAGCTCTCTCCATGTCTTTCTCTTTTTCTCCTTTCAGCTACGGTCTAGCACTGAGCTCCATCCGGATCTCCTCACAGACTGCCTGGCAGTGCAGCCCCTGCAGCCAGCCACTTCCCCCAGAGATGCTGCCGCCACCGATGGCACTGTGGGACACTCCCCGGGGCCAGGGCCTGGACCTGAGCTCTATCCAGGTAAGAAATGAGCAAGTCTAGTTCACCCGAGAACATGACCATGTTCACCTACACTCGACCGTGTCAGAGCTCTGCAGTTGTTCTCCTGCCAGGTAGCAAAGCAGTGCTTGTTTTTCCTCATAAAAAAAAGGTCAATTGACACATTAATTCATCTAGTTCTGGGCTTCTGCCACAAGTCTGGTGTACCCTCCTCTCCCAGGAAACTTAAACTTATTGATTTAGCCTCAAAGGAAATGGTTAGCCCTGAAGCAGGCAGCAGACAACATGTGGATTCTAACCAGAACAGTCGTTATCGTTTTAAAGGAAGCCCCAGATTGCTACAAAAACGTTTTGCAGTAGTAAACCAACTTGTAAGAATATCCGTTAATGTCCCTCAATCAAAGGGAAAGGAAAGGAGGACACTGTTGATCTCCTTTCTACCTGGGTTTGAATCATGAGTGACCCTGTGTTCAGACAATTTCAGGTTGCAACCAAAAAAGGAAAGACTATTCTAATCCTATAAGAAAGCTCATTGTTTTTCTTTAATCGCCTTAGCTTGCAGTTTGGGTGCATTTTCGAGTCTCTAGGATGGTGGGGAACTTGAGCAAGCATAGTTAGTCCTATTACTTTCCACACAGAATGCTCTCACTACAAGCCATCTGAAAGTAGCACCAGCACCACATTCCAGACAATGAGACCTTTCCATTTTCAGTGACTTGCAAATCTCACTCCCATCTGCATCTGTAGCCAGGTTGGCAGCATGTTTTTTGTTTTTTTTCCCCAAGAATTATTAATAAGACATAGAGAATGAAGAATTTAGTGATGCATTACATTGGAATAGGAGAAAGATGTGCTTGTGTAGCTTTTTAAGCTTAACATTTCTCATGGTGATCCAATGCAGAAGAAAAGGCCATTAAGCAGTCATTTCAAGAGCATCAGTCCTCAAGACATTCTTAATCGCAGTGTGCCAGCTTGGGGACTTACCGTTTGAAACAGCATAAGTTTATCTTTTCTAGTTCCAGAGAGATAGATTAAAAACTTACTTGAAGGGCTGACCAATTCTTGAAGACTTGCATAGATAACGTCATCAGATACATATGGCTGCTGCATAACACTACCAACACATACTACAAAACTAGAGAAATGCTCAGCGTCCTTAGTCATCAGGGAGGTGCAAATCAAAACAACCCTGAGATTTCACCTTACACCCATCAGAATGGCTAAGATCAAAAACTCCAGTGACAACACGTGCTGGAGAGGATGTGAGAAAGGGGAACCCTCCTCCATTGCTGGTGAGAATGTAAACTGGTACAACCACTTTAGAAATCAATCTGGTGCTTCCTCAGACAATTAGGAGTAGTGCTACCTCAAGATCCAGCTATACCACTCCTAGGCATATATCCAAAATATGCCCAAGTATACAACAAGGACATTTGCTCAACCATGTTCATAGCAGCTTTATTCATAATAGCCAGAACCTGGAAACAACCCAGATGTCCCTCAATTGAGGAATGGATACGGAAATCGTGATACATTTACACAATGGAATACTACTCAGCAATTAAAAACAAAATCATGAAGTTTGCAGGCAAGTGGTGGGAACTAGAAAAGATCATCCTGAATGAGGCATTCCAGAAGCAGAAATACACATACAGTATATACTCACTTATAAGTGGATATTAGACATATAATATAGGATAATCATACTAAAATCTGTTCACCTAAAGAAGCTAATCAAGAAGGAGGACCTGGGGTAAGATCAATCCTAATTAAGAAAGGCAAATTGGATAGACATCAGAAGAGGGTGAAAACAAGGAACAAGACAGGAGTCTACCGCAGAGGGCCTCTGAAAGACTTTGCCCAGCACTGCACGGAGTAGCTGGTTATTGCCTTTACATTCTCTTAACAAAAATAAGGAAGATGCAGTAAGTCAAGAAAGTGCCTCCGTAATGATTATCAGATATATATGCCTTTAGTTGCCAGCTGAATGATTTAGCACAAAAATATTTTTATGGAAACTTGTGTGCTGTTGTATGCATGTAGGTGTAGGAGAGGAAGCCCTTCAGTGTGGCATGGAGCACCATAACCCCTGGGGCGTCCCAAGATTCAGGACTCAGAAGTCTGCTCAGTTTGGCATTACGATGAGCAGGGAAGGTAGCAGCTCTGATACACAGGAATCCTGCATATCCTGAAATATCTCCTTCCTTTATTAAAGCAGACTTCTCAGATTGATAAACACTGGCTGATTGGAATGGATTGCCTGAAAAGATGTTCATTTTTGCAGGACAAAATAGTGTTTCAGGTTAAAAGGATGAAATAAAGTTGAGAGTGTGCTGAGGATGAATTTGAATTACGGTGTTTACTTTTTCACTGTTGCAAAATCCCTGGGCTCCCCAGGCCCGCTGCTGTGTGCGCCCCAGAGACAGGGGCAGTGGTGAAAAGCCTTGAGAATAGATCACTTCCTTTTATTTATTTATTTATTTATTTATTTATTTATTTATTTATTTATTCATTCATTCATTCATTTATTCATTCATTCATCTATCTATCTATCTATCTATTTATTTATTTATCAGAGACTATGCCCTAGGTCATGGCCCAGGTCAATATGGAAATTCCAGGTGATTTACTGAGGACCTGTGAGACTGTTTCACAGTAGATCAAAGTGAGACTACTACTTTCCAGCTTTAGGACCAACATAAATCTGAGCCCCTATAATGAACTAATGAAGTAGTCAAGTCTAAATTTAGAGAGTATACAGCAGCATGGACCAACTGGCCCAGAGTCTGATCTTGGCAGAAGGTCCACAAACACTAAATAAGGATGGCCTGGGCAAATGATCTGTCCCGTGTGTGGCCATAAAAGTGATGGCTCCCTCCAAACCACAGCTGCAACTATGGACTCACTGCGGGGTGACCTTAGTGAGCCTGTGGTCTCTGTCATGAAGATTTCGTGCTAGCCATTAGAATCATCTACCAGAAACCCAAATCCTTGGGAGTTGCTTAGAACTGCTGATCAGCTGGGGCTAAAGCTACATGTGAAGGGTTGTCACGTGACCTCACAGGAAACGAGGCCTGCTTGCACACTTGCTTACCCTCCTCCGTGCAGGCGATGCTCCGGATGGTACAGGCTTTTGATGGATATGGCTGACATATTCGAGTCCCACAGAAACTACCACAAAGTGGAGAACAACGCAGAAACCAGAGAGATCTGAGGAGACATTATTAGAGAATGAGGGAATTTTGTCAGCACTGATTCTGTTGTAACGTAATACTCACATTTAGAGCTAGTTAGTCCTGTTGAACTGTTCAAATTTTAGTGTAACTCTAAGTTTTTCTGGAGGAAAAAGATTCTTTTTATGGTACCATATAAAAGCATAAGAAAAAGGAAAATAAAATTTTCTTTATAAGGTTTTATATTGCCATTAGCTCTCCTGCCTCTAATTACTGGGAGAAGGGAGCTTTTCTTCTGCAGTAAATTCAGTTTTTGTAACAGATATCACTGTGTTAACATGGTTTATGAATAGTGTTTCATTTTAGTGTAATCTCATGTTATATGTTTTAATATACTTTCTACATTCCTAAATTGAATATATTTGCTGTCTTTGGACAGCTTCTTAGAAAGTTGTAAATGTTAGACATAATTTTCTGTAAAACAGCTTCCATGGTCTCTTCTCAAAAACTGCTTATTGATTGTGGAGGTAGTCATTAGTGAGCTCTAAACTGACACACAAATTTCCCAATAGATTAAACTTTACTGGAGAGATCTGTAAAGGATGAACATAACCTACATTAAAATCTTCAGAAAACACAGAGCATTGTAAAACACATAAATAAATCTTGCATTATCTTCAGAAGCACTGTTTCACTTGGAATTTACAAAAGGGAGAAAGCAACTGAGAAACTTTGGAATTGCAGCGGACAGACAGAAATGGAGACAAAAGGAATATGAGGGAAATGTGCTCTTGTGATGGCGTCTTGAGCTGTCGTCAGAGTCTATGTCACTTTAGAGTAGTGGTTCTCAACCTGAGGGTGTAACTCCTTCGGAGGTCAACAGACTCTTTCATAGGTACCATCTATCAGATATTTATATTACAATTCATAAAGGTAACAAAATCACAGTTACGAAGTAGCAATGAAAACAGTTTTGTGGTTGGGGTCACCACGACGTGAGGAACTGTATTAAAGGGTCACAGCGTTAGGAAGGTTGAGGACCACTGCTCTAGAGCATCCATTGACAATTATCAATCAACTTAAACTGAAGTCGGCGACTATAGGAGCAAACCCCATGACTTCCTCTGTGGGCATTAATGTCCCTAACATACAGTGTAGTCCTCCCTAACCCCTGAGCCAGTCCAACAGATGGCCTCATGAAAATGCAGTTTTCTGAGCCCACCCCTGGAATTTCCAACTCAGTAGTTCTAAACAAACCCAAAGATTTGAATCTCTGCCAAATTATTCGAACAGGTTCCCAGGTGCAGTTCATCCAGGCAGCTCACTTTGCAGCCCATCGTTTTGACTCGCACTATATGGGTATGTGACTTCTGTCAAAAACCCAATTTGTAGAGGTCAGTTGAGTATGAGTCACATACGCCATGCACATCTGTGTTCGCAGTGTAGAAACCTGCAGAAGCCTCACTTGACTTTTCTTTTTGTTTCTTTTTTTTCTTTTTGGTATTTTTTAAAATTGAGAATAGCCTTCATTATGCACACTCCATTAAAGCAAATTAACATGTTGTTTCCCAGGCAGCACAGGTCACACTGACGTGCGTAAAGCGGTTACAGCTGTTCCTGCCTTTATGTGTTTGCAAACTGCTAATTTCAGTGCTTTGGCTTTCCTTGTCTACATATTCCCTTGTACTTGTGCTGTTTTTTCACGCAAGATGAGGCTGAATCACTCAGTTTTCCAACATGCACAAGTTTTTGTTATAAAAACATTTTTTAATATGAGCAAGCAGTTCAGTCCGTAATAGCTAGAAATTACAAAAAGCTCAAATGTCTGTCAGTACAAAATATATGTAT